TTTTGATAAAAGGTCACATGTTTTATATATTAAAAAAACAGTCAAACAAATACAATATCCCCTATCAAAACAAACTATGCAAAACACAACAAAAACAACAGCAAAAAAAACAAAAGCAGCATCACCTAATCAAACTATTCAACAACCAAATTGTTTACGACAGCCCCCATCTTTGCAAGTCCATCTGCTTCAAAAGGGGGATTTACTATGTTTAGATTGTCATTGCTTCCAAACAAAAAAGAACTTATAGTTTGTGCCTTAGACATGAACAAAGGCACATAGACCATCTTACTCAATTATCCAACAGCCATAGCAATGTAACAAATGGAGAAAGCACCTAAGCAGTGTTTTAAAACTGGGATCAATGGGACATATTGTTTACCCACAAATATCTGGCAAGTCACTAGATTAGCAATCTAGATTGGATTTGAATCGGTATGACTTTGTAATTTAAAATTAAATAAAATAAAATAAAAATAAAAATTGGAGTTTATCAGTGGGGATTAAAACGAACTTACAAAAACATTACATGAGCGTAAAAAAAATTTATAAGAAAGAGAGATTTTGGGGGGGGGAACCAGTTCGGTTCCCAGTTTCCCACTGATTCTCATCCGAATCGATAATCCTAATGGGCTTTTTGAGGAACTAAGTCGGGACCATATTACAACCCGTTCCGTCTGATTGATTCTCATCTGAATCGACGATCCTTAAAAAAATCTCCTAGTTTTAAAACTCTCCATCGAAGTGTAATCACAACAAATGAAATAATCACAACAAATGCATTTCGTTTTGCATTTGACATACAAGTTGTCCACGCTTCTCAGCCGTTTCTACCCAATAATATGGCTCGAATACGATTCCATCTTATTATTATTATTAATTTTGTTTTGTTTTGTTTTTGTTTTTGTTTTTTTCAATTGCGTAAACATTTAGCCCTTCTAACCCCTGTTTGCAACTTCGGAAAGCCATCTTAAAAGTCTACATAATGACGTATGCACCCTCAAGTCCACGTTTCGGAAAATCTTACTTGGAACTTAGAAGACAATCCCAACGCTAAATGGCAAAAACGTGACAATATTTTTAACACCAAGGAACATCGGATGATCTTCATTACAATTGTTTTATCCATAGAGTCTTTTTTGTTTCCAAATGAATTTGAGTTCTATAGAGGGCCAAGCCGGGCGGCCCTATCCTCTGGCCATGATTGCCCAGTCCTGGCCACCTTTGGTCGGCTAGGCCCTAGTTTTTTCTAGTGCCAACCTTATTGGATCGGGCTGTATAGTGCGGTCCGTTGCCACCCATACTTTCTAGCTATTACATAAGATTTCGGCTTTTATCATTAAAAAGCTCTAAACAAAGTAGAGCCCACCTTCAAATAGTATCGAGAAATGTGGTTTCGATATTGAAAAAAATCTTTGTGATAGTTTTAAAATATATTTTTATTTTTAATTATAATATTTAAAGCTTAAAAAATGGTGTAGATTGAACAAATAAATGAAAACTTGAAAATATTAAAAATTGGTGGTCCAAAAATGCATTATGAGATGCAATATTTCCAAAACTTGAAATTCATTTTTTCCCCATATCTATGCATCTTGATGTCGAGATGATCAATTTGAAGATATTTAGAAATCAAACAACTTCTTCTAGTGAAATTTTTGAGGTGGGTTCTAATTTGATTGTTTAGAACCTCAGCTTTGTATAATTTTTTTTTAAAAAAAATTATTTTCCATTACATTCAGGCTTGATGATCAAAATTTTCCCTTTATTTTTAGGGAAAACTTGATCATCAAGTTTTCTCTTTATTTTTCAGACAGGTGACCGTCTCTTATTTTCTCTCTTTATCTCTCTTCACCCATCCTCAATACACCATTTCTCTTTCTCTCTTTATCCTCCCTCACTTTCTCTCTCTTTTTCCCTCTACCCTCCCTCATTCTTTCTCTCTACCACTCACATGCCCATCATGCGGTTTGGCGTATTTTTGTATTGGGAATTTTTTTTTGCGATCCGGCACCCATAATGTGGTTCGGTATATTTTTTTCTTGGACCACAAAAAAAATCTCAATTAGTATATTTTTGTGCCGGACCGCAAAAAAAATCTTGATTCAACGCACCTTGTGCTGGAATACATTATTGGAATGTGAATAGCAAAGAGAAAAAAAATGAGGGAATGAGAACAGGGAGGGTAGAGAGCGAAACAATGAGGAAAGGTAGAAAGAAAGAGTGGGGGAGGGTAGAGAGATAAAATGACGAGGGAGGGTAGAGAGAAAGAGTAAAGGACGGTAGATATAAAGAGAGATAAACGGGTTTAGAGAGAAAGGACATGTTAGAGAGTTTTTTTTTTGGTAACTAGAGAGAGTTTGAGAGAAAAATATAAAAAAATATGTTGAAAAAGGGAAGAGAGAGATTTTGGTATCAAAATATTTCGATTATTTGACTAGAGGTAAATATATGGAAAAATAATATTGAGATTTAAGGTACAATAATAATAATAATAAAGTAAAAGTAGGATGTATAGAAAATTGAAGTTGAGGGTTTGTATAAAAAAAATAAATAAAAATGTCATTTTAATAAAAAACAAGAGCAAAGTTGGTAATATTAAGATTTATGGAGTTCCGCTTATGCGTGACCATGAAATTTCCTTCCCAAGAAGACCGATTCCTTTGGTCTGGTTAGGTGCCAAAAAAGACCCCCAAAGACGACTGAATACCGACCACGAATAAGCCCAAATCAAAAGAAAGCCCCAGAAGAACCCATCAACGACAAAACTTTTGAATTACAGAAGAACAAAACCCTAGAAAATTACACGTTCTAACAAAAAACCAATCTACTGAGAAAAACCCCAAAACGCTAGATCAACACGCCTTTTAAGCGTCGTGTCCACTTTCTCCACCACTCCACTCCACTCCATTCCATATCCCACTCTCTCTCTCTCTCGCTCGAATTCCATCTCTTGAGGCCCGGTTTTCTATCTCTAAGATTTCCTCTTCCTATCGAGCCAGGTGGGTTCAAGTCGGCTCCGTGATGGTCCCGATCGTCGCGTCGCAGTTAGCGACAGGGCTTGGTGTTTTAGCCGGAGCCATTTTCGTGAAATCGATGCTTGATCAGAAACCAATGGCGGGTGGTTGGCCTCGTTGCCCTAGCTGTAATGGCACTGGTAGGGTTGCGTGCATGTGTTCTCGATGGTCAGATGGCGATGTAGGCTGCCGGACCTGTGCGGGTTCAGGGCGCATGGCCTGTAGCAGCTGTGGAGGCACCGGCAATGGCCGCCCCATCCCTGCTCCTCTATCTGTTAGGGTTAATCGTCCGCCATGAAAGGGGTGTGTCTCTCTCTATTATATGTTTCTCTCCCTATATTTCTCTTTCAAGCTCTTGAATTTATATTTGTTTCTATGTAATATACGAGGGAGGTGAAATTGAAGTGGGATTAGGTTTATCAAAGTCAGTATCTTGCTGTGAACATGAAATTGGTTATTGAATGAGAGGGTGATATGAATTTCTTAAATTTTATGGATTCTGATGGGAAAATGGTTTGATAGGGCTGCAGCCCTATTACAATAAGTAAAGCTTCACCTAATCATCGAAAATTGCAACTCAAGCATTGCAAAACTTTCGCAATCGATCATCTTGGCTTCAATGGCTGTGAAAAAAATAAAATAAAAATAGATTTCAACCTCTAAAGACAGTGTATATTATAAAAAATTATCTAGACGATCTATTTGGCCCTAAAAATAACGAATCTGTATCATTTTTTAAGTTTTAAATTTATTGTTTGAAATTGATTTTAGAGCTACGATGGAGTTTCCTGTTGCTGAAAGTGCTTTCTGGATGAGGATTTGAGGTGAGGCTTTTTTTTGTTTTCATAAAGCCTAGGCCTTATAAAAAGTTCATTCGCAGTCACTGAATTTATACCTTTTATTCCTCGAATGTGGATTTGAGGTGAAGCTTTATTTTGTTTAGTGAACCTTGACCATTGCTCCCAAGTGGTTCCATGCCCTCCCACTGCACCAATACTTCGGTAATTACTTTGATTTGGTGCTTGCGCATTATCCGATCAAGTATAGCTAAGGGCTCCAAAATATGTGTTCCATCTGTTGATTGTTGGGGGAAGTTCAGTTTGGATAGTTACATTCACCCCAACCACCTTTCTAAGGCATGATATGTGGAACATTGAGTGAAATTTTTATAATTCTGGCAGCTCTAACTTATAGGCGACCTTGCCAAACACGTTCAATGACTTTGTGAGGCCCATAAAATTTCGGGGCAAGCTTCTTTAGCCCACGAATTGCCACTAATAATGGGCGATATGGTTACAACCTTAAGAAAACCATATACCCTATTTGAAATTCCCTTTGCACTCTTTTTTTATCAGCTAGTTGCTTCAGACGATTATGTGCTAAGTGCAAGTTTTCTTTTAAAACTTGTAAGATGTTGTCACGAGTTTGCAATTCTGAGTCAACTGCCTAGACATTGGTGGTACTCGAAACATAGGATGTAACTGTGGGTGGTGGTTGCCGCATATACGGCCTCATAGGGAGGCAAGTAGTATTGTACCACCATTCAGCCAATGGAAGCCAGTGGACCTACAATTTAGGTTGGTATGAAGTGAAGCACCTCAAATAAGTCTCCAAACATTTGTTGACCATCTCAGTTTGGCCATCTGATTGAGGATGATAAGCCGAACTCATGTTAAACTGTGTTCCTGTAACCTAAATAACTTACGCCGAAAATTGCTCATGAAAATAGGGTCACGATCACTGACAATTGGCTTAAGCATCCCATGTAGCTTGAATACATAGTCAAGGAAAACTTGAGCTATTGAGGCAGCTGTATAGGGCTGTGCGAGGGCATAGAAGTGGGCAAATTTGCTAAAGCGGTCCACTACAACGAAGATAATTGCCTTCCCATGGGAATTTGGGAGACCTTCAATAAAGTCCATTGATATAAATTTGTGTGGGAATGGGAAGGGATCTGGGCAATTGCATGGCCCCCTCCCCCCCTTTTGCCTCTAACACACATCACATTCAACCACATATTTCTTTATGTCTCTCTTGATCCCTTTCTAATAAAAGGACCTTAGGATTTTCTTGTACGTTTTGAGGAATCCTGAATGACCTGCGGTGGAAGACTCTTGTAGATACCAACACTATTCTGCCCTTGTAGCACGACAATATGGTTTATAACCTGAAGTAGGTACCAACACTATTCTGCCCTTGTAGCGCAACAACCCTTCCCTCCAATTATAATTAGGCCTTGCCATGGGGTCTCTTTGGAGATCATGTATGAGGTCTCTTTGGAGATCATGTATGAGGTCTCTTATAGTTTCATCAGCTGCCCATTCTTGCCTTATGTCCTCTATCCGTCCATTGAGTTCGAGGCATCGATATAGCAAGGAGTGTAGCCGCCTCTTCATGCTGCCGTGAAAGGGCATCAACCACCACATTCTTTTTCCCTTTCCGATACACTATCTCATAGTCGTAGCTTATAAGTTCTATAACCCACTTTTGTTGATCTGGAGTAGAGATCCTTTGTTCCAAGAAATATTTAAGGCTTTGATGATTTGTATGAATAGTAAATCGACGCTCAATCAGGTAAGGCCACCATTTGGTAACTGCATGAATAATAGGTACATCTCCTTTTCATATATGGAAAGTGCTTCTTACCAGAGAGAGCCTTACTAATGAAAGCCAATGGTTGCCCTTCTTATAAGAGTGCGACGCCTATTCCTATCCCGGAGGCATCCATTTCTAGGATGAATGGTTTTGAAATGTCCGGCAAGGCTAATACTGGTGTTGTGCTCATCGCCCTCTTCAAAAAATCAAAGGTCAACTTGGCTTTAGAGTCCCATACATAGGCATTCTTTTTTAGTAGACTAGTGAGAGGGGTGCTAATTTTACCAGTCTTTAACAAATTTCCTATAATATCCGGTGAGTCCCAAAAAACCACGTAAACTCCTCCATTGCTTTTGATATGACCCAAATACTTGACCTCTTGCCGCCCAAATGAGCACTTGGGAGGGTTGGAGGTACAGTTTATTCCATCTAAGTATCTTTAGAGTGCAGGCCAAGCGGTCCAAGTGGTCTTCCCAAGTGGTTCTATAGTTGAGGATATCATAACAAGATACCAAAATAAATGTTCGTCGGTTAGGGTCTGAAGGTTGATGGCGCATTGGTGAGCCTGAAGTGCATAACTAAGAACTCGTAATGGCCCTCATGAGTACGAAATGTAGTTTTGGAATATCATCCTCCTTCACTTGGATTTGATGATATCTAGATCGTTGATCAAGTGTGAAGTATTGGGCACCATGGAGCTCATCAAGTAATTTATGCATGACTGTAATTGCGTTTCATGCTCTATAGTCAACACACATTCTCCAAGAGCCACCCTTTTTTTTTGACCAAGAGCTCTAGTGAGGAATAAGGCTAACACTCGGGCCGCTAATGCCTGCTTCCTTCATTTCTTAGACAATATTTTCAATCTCCGCGTTTTGCACGAATGAATATCGATATGGCCGAATATTAGGCGATTGGCTTCTCGGAATCAAGGGAGCTGAATGGTCATGAGAATGTTGGGGAGGTAATTCCATTGGGTCCTCAAACAGGTCCATATATTGCTCAAGCAACGAAGCGACCATAGGTTCCTCTACCTTTTCCTCCTTCACAGACAAGGAGAAGAGTCGGGCCACCATTCCGAAAGACCGCTTGTGAACTAGTCTCTCCATGCAATAATAGTTGATTATCGTCAATCCATTGCCTTGTACCCCTTGCAAAGTGTATTGCTTCTCCTCAACAGTAATCTGCATCCACAGCTCACTTGCCCAAAAAAAAAAAAAAACAACTGCATCCACAGCTCAAAAAAGTCCTACAAAATGGGTTCCAGTGTCCATAGCCACTGAGCTTCTAAAACAATGTCACAGCCCCCTAAGGGTAAAGAGTACATATCAAGCTTACAGTGGTAGTTTGCCATAGTTAAGGGTACATTCTTAGTCTTACCCTTTACAGGCCAACTTCTCACCATTAGCTATCATGACTTCAAAATTTTCACGAGGATAAACATAAAGATCAACTTGCTTTGTGATAAAGTTGCGGGTACCACTTGAATCAATGAGTTTGGTGTCTGACTGTTTCTTTATGTACCCCTGAACTCGCATGGTTTGGGGCGAATTGATCCCAGCTAGAGCGTGCATCACAATTTCAGGGTTGTCTTCCTCGTGCCCAGGTGGGTCACCTCCCTCTTCTTCGACCTTGTTTTCATCAATGGTATCTCCGTCCAACAAATAGAGCTTTTGATTTTTGCGTCGTTGAGGGCTATATTTTTCATTACAATTGTAACATAAACCTCTTTCTCGCCTTTGATTAGTGGAGCAGTATTCGACTACAGGGACTCCACTTATCTTAGGAGGAATTCCCTTACTTTGACGACGTTGGGCCATTATTTTATCCTCTTGAAGTCGGGCTAAGCCAATGGCCTCCATCATTGTTTTAGGCTTAAACTGTCTAATTTCTCCCTTAAGCCCACACAACAAAGCAACTTGTAAAAAATGCATCACTAAGTAAGGCCAATGATACGATTTGCTAACCTCTCAAACTAAGTTCGATGCTCACGAATTGGCTAGGGTCGAAACTGGTACAAAGAGCAGTGAAAAAGTCTCAGCATGGTTGTTATGAGAGTGCGGATTTCTTCCAATGCATGTGATTGCTTCATATAACCTTCTCTACTTTGTTTTATCTCTTGCTCTCACCTTTTTACTTCTTGCAATCTACTTCCCTCGCCCATAGTTGAGCAAATTGGCCAAGGACTGGCTTTGACACCAAATGCAAGAAGTCCCAAAAATAAGAGGGCAAAAACAACTATAAGAGCTTAATTTTATTGAAAACAGTAAGGAAAAAGCTTATAGTCCACTTTGAAGAGGCAATACTCCTAAATAAGAATCCCAAGCTCAAGCTTTTTCCATTCTCAATTATATAGACCTCCATAGTTATCTTACATTTACTCCCAAATTAATAACCATTAACTCAAAAACTCCCACCCACTTATTGAATTTCAACTTCTAGTTAACATTCAAATGAAATTTTCCTGCCATTTATTGAATTTTAACCCTTGGTCAAGGAAATCTCCTAATAACTCCTAATTTATTAAAAACTTCTAAGTTATTGCAAAAGATGCATTACAAAAGAGTTACTTATTTTAAAAGGAAAAAGTTTATATAAGGGTGAGGCTCTGGACAATCAAATTAAGGATAATTCATTAGAAAAGGTTGTTTTGATACTGGAACACCGTTAATTCAATCATCTCAATCTGAAGATGTATGGAAAATGGATTCTAAGTGTTGGACATATTGCATTTTGCAATGTATTATTAGACCGTCAATTTTTCAAGATTTTCAAGTGTTTATAGATTTTCTCGATGTACACTAATATTGAATGAATTAGAGATGAAAATAAGTTTTCAGGCCATGATTAATATTTCTGATATGAAAACAACATATTTCGGCACTAGTTGAAGGAG